TCGCGGTTGCCGGGGCTGTGGCAGCTGCTGTCTGTTGAGGAGCAGTGGCGGCAGTCACCTGCAAAGCACCCTTTAGTTTCAATGCTCAAAACCTTTCTGTCTTCAACACGCTTTAACTGATCAACAAGCAAAAGCTTGCTGGAGGACGGGGGAATCAACTGAATGAACCGGGGAGCATTCTAAGCTCATCGAAGTAATTACCTTACCTTGGTAGCTTGATCAAAACATATCAAAACGCTATAAAACCGTTCATGTCTGGTCACCTGGCCATTGGTGCGCGCAGGGACCACGAAGCCATGACCGGCGTCGAGAAAAGCGAAACTGAGCGCCGCGACCTTCGACATCAGCACAGCGAAATCCGAGTGATCACTGAAGGGGAGAGCAAATCGTGCCGTTTGGGATGCAGACTGCGGCACATGCTGCAAGTGCGGAGACGTCAGTCTCACTCAAAAACTCTCATGTGTGCACTAAAACCTTTGACCAACTTGGTTGTCACTACCTCAATCTACTACGAACAGTACCGTACCAATTAATCACAGGCTATTGAACTGCTGCTGCCATCCGGTCAGTCCTTCTTCCTCTCAAGGACCTCAATGCAGAGCTAACTGAACCGCTGCCGCTCGTGTCCACACAAGAACCATCTTTAGCCCGTCCCAGCAAAGAGTCTGGACCCCCATAGCACCGAGCCTGGAAAGGCTACCGAGCTCCTGACAATGCTCGACATCAAGTCACCTAAGCAGATCGCCACAGCGGCATTGGCCCTCACCAATCTCCCCACAAAATGAAGCTCCAGGACCCTCCAAGGACCCGGAAGGCCTCCTGCTAGGCGTCCTCCCGTTGCGGGACAACAAAAACTGCTGCCACGGCACATTCGAGCTGCTCTCTCAGCAGCAAGCCCTTGGCATGACGAGCCGCCTCGCCAAAGAAGGTCTTGGGCTTGCTGTGGATGTAGTAGTAGAGCCACCTGGAGAAGGATCAAAGGCAGCGCGGCACACTTTCCCAAAGAAAGCAACTTAATTTTAAGCTAGAGAAAAATCATCTTTTAAACCCATTTTGGCCTTCGGGTTGCTTGTGCCAGAAAGGACTTGTGGGGGGATTCAACCACCCTGGGGCCCTTGTCACGGGACAATTCTGGGGCCCTTGGACTCGCAGCTGCTCTCTCAGCAAATCTGCTTTGGACGGTCACGTGCTTTAACAAAATATAGGAACCAGTCCGACAATCTTCAAGACTACCTGGGACTACCTCGGTTGTATCCAAGCCAACAGTCTCGGTTGAATCCGATTCGGATAGCTTTGGAACGCGGACGCTGTCGAGGTTGTGCTGTTCCCTGAGCGACAGAAAAACACTCAATGGAAGATTGACTACTCACGCATTATATTCACAAAAATCACATATTATAATCTATGATGATCCATGATAATCCCAAATATCGATAGAATAATAGAAAAGTAAATCCCCACTAAAATCTATTGAAAACCGTGCCGCTATCTACTATTTGGGGGTCTATATAGAGAGAGCGACAGCCAAGACCAGAAATCGCTGGTGTTGGATGCTCAAATCCCTACTGGTCGACATCCAGGTCGCTGAGGATTGGTTTTGGTGCTAGTTCATTTGCTAGAATTTCAGGTTCTTGCCTTTTCTTGGCACCCAATCCTAACCTACACATCCTAACCCTCAATATACTCAATATAGGATATGCCGGGCCCTGGGAAGAACAAGTCCTGGCAAAAATCTGACAAACCAGTCTTGCTTCCACAAGATGCCGCCCAGAATCGGAGACTCCTGGCTCAATTCCCAAGTGCTTGATGTAGGGGTCTGTCACAAATACTCCGTGAGAATAAACCACAAAGTGGTTGCGTCAAATTCTGGCCTCCCCCACGGCCTCGCCTCTCATTCGACAGCTTCCACTTGCCCTCAGAGGCCTGGGGGGGCGGCTCCGTCAACGGTTGAGGCGTAAAGAAATCCATCGCGGAACGAAATGTACATTGCCTTCTCCACTTACATCAAGTTCTTCTTTTTTGTGGGGGCGGCCTTTGTATTTCAAACCATCTTCACCGTCTCCAACATCCTCAAACACTTGGAGCTCTCCATCCAATCCAATCCAATCCACCCGTCTCCACCCGTCTCTGTGCGCTGGGGCCTTGCGTCTCTCGATGTAATCGGCCAAATACCCCGAAGAGGACCTCGCAGCCGACCCGACAGGTTCGAGGTTGGGACGTTTCTCTCGGTGCCAGCGTCCCTTTGTGTTGGCGCAAGAGGGACGCTAGGTCTCATGGTCTCTGTCGGTCTAGGAAGGTGTTGGAGCCCCATTGTTAGAATGGCAAGGTCATAATGTCATATTGAACAATGTGACATGCAAATTGTTCCACATAGATTACCTGGGTGATCCTCATAACGCCGTACGTGCATACCACGAACACGACGGATCGATGACACCTCCCTCCCTAGTGAACTGGAAGAACGAAGACGTCAATGAAGACTGCAGTACCTGTCAAACAGAATTCAAACAGCGTCAGTATCGTCCCAATCCCAAGCCCTGCGACTGAGGCTGTTGGTTTGCATCCAATACTATATGCAATACACTCCATGGGACTGCCATGTGTGCCTACATTGACCCTCCAAACCACCCCAACTGCTCGGCAGTCCTATGGCAGTCCCATGGAGCGTCTGGCATATCCAATACCGTGCTTGCAACCGGGCAGCTGAGAAGCAATGACTTGCTTGTGTTGATCCACCGGGAGGTCTTGTACGAGATCCTCCATGAAACACGTAGAGAAATCCCACGTGACACTGCCTTCCGGTGTTTGTCAACCTACCTACTGTTGACTGTTGGTTGATCGATCACACCTCCCATATGAAAATGATTGAACTTCTAGGTACAGGGGTTGGTTCATCTTGGTCCATCAACAGCCCACATTCAGACTGTTCTCAAAGCTCTTCCGCCCCAGCCAAAAAAATCACTAACTTGGACAGGGCAACAACGGTTGAACAAAACATGTGTCAAGAAACACATCTTCTGAACTGCACGGAGTCAACGACCCAACCGCCCAACGGTTTTGGGAGTCCACTGGAGTTTTTGGTCTCCAGTGTGATGTCTTCCCACGTTCACCTATACATACACTGAAGGAGTGGAAAAACGGTCTCTCCAATGATTGGATGCAGTTCCAAACGTTCACTGTCCTGCTTTCAAGTCAGTGTGGCTCTCTTTCGGGTCCCGATGTGTCAAGCCCACCAAACGCGCCCTTGACCAAATGGAACCAGATCTAAAGTTAAATCAAACATTGTAAACAATGAGATGGATCACTCGTGGGTTGACCATAGGATCTTCCAATGATGTCTGCCCTTGACAATGCACTTGAGGGGTCACTGCCGGGTACCATACACCTATTGATTGTACGCTTGGGGGTATTCCCTCTAATCAACCAACTAGGAGCAATTGAACATCTATGGGATCTTCATGGGATCTTCTATATAAACTAATATGCCGCCCCTCTGCAAAAGACTTTAGACTTAATTAATGCATTTGGAATCAGCTCCTGCAGCTCCTCATACTGAAGCCTGCAACCAAACGGGGCGAGGCAGCTCGACTGGAGGATCACCAGCCACCAAGATTGCCTTGTTGAACGGTTGAGCCAAAACTCCAGTGAACTGTGAGTTGTGTTGGTGACATCTTTGACGAAGGGTAGCTACAAGCCCTACATCCGGGACCCAGTGTAGAAGGTGGAGGACGCGGGTTCGGAAGCGCGGAAGGACCGAGGTTTTGTTGGGATGTTTTGGGAGGGACGCGAGGTTCCCAACAGGATGACACAAGCTATGAACACATGTGGGAGGGGATCCAAATTCTGTTTGTGAAAACTTGTTCCATGCATCATACTGAAACAAAGTAACGTGTACATCATATAAATGAACATGAGCCCTTTGGTTACAGCATGTTGCAGCATCACATGAGTAAAGAGAACAAACAGGCGACCTCGTCCTGGTCCGCTCCAATCCTCGACCCGTCGGGTACGGTCCTTACAGGCCAGGTCCATGTCCGTATGCATTCACTTTACGTTGTGTTTTGCTTATCCCATTGCCAGTCAGTGGATGATTACCTTTCTCAAAGATAGTATAAGATAGTTATATATACCCTGACGATCCATGACCACACATAGGTCACAAATAGAAATGATCTCAGGATATGCATACGTTTCTATTGATCGTGTTATTTGAAGACGTTGTCGAATCACAGATTGGGGTACCTGAAATGTATATACAATTCCAGTATCATTGTCGGAGGATAAGACCATGAAATCCCAAGAACCAAGCATACCAGGGCGTGACGAACCGTGACAGACCGTGACAGACCGTGATTGGTCTATTTTGTCCCTTTAAAAATGAGGTCATTGTCGGACTCCAGCGTGACAACCCGTGACGAATTTGAATTTGGGATCGTTGGTTTTGTGGTTTTTGGGTTCTGTGGTTTTGTGGTTTTTGGGTTCTGGTATGATCTCGTTTTTTGAGGTCGGACCTCACAGGGTGAGGTCGGAGAGCCCCAGAAGGCACAACCCCAAATGTTGGCATATAGAGCTAACTTTCGATCCTCAGGGATATATATGTGTGTGTTTTCTATTTTCGTTTTTGACTCGCTGTTACAGGTAATGGGCTACACCCTAGGGCCCTAGGTGCACTGAACCCCTGTTCGATCTATTTCTCACCATCCCGCCTGGTGCTGCTCTTGCCGCCAGCGCCGGAGCCTCGGGGTGTTGGGCAAGGGAGGCAGGCTCCGGTAGGCTCGGAGGAAGGGTCTCTGGGATCCAACGGGGTCATCACCGTGAAGACCCAAATGGCATAGAGAGGACAGGACGAAAGAATGGATCCGTGAGAAGATCCTTCAGAAGTAAGCACTGTGAAAAAGGGACATAGTAAATCAACACCTTCAAGCACCGTCAGCACCTCAACATGGGGTACAGTGAAAAAGTGGCTTTGCGTGTTGTGTTGCCCAAGTTTCTTCTCATGTGCAGGGTGAGTTGGAAGGGTCATGTGAGCATGCACCAAGCATAGCGGGACAGGCGTTCTCGTTGTGGAACCTAGCTCACAGTAGCAAAGCACAGCAAACACAATTCCAAAACACCAATAGATCCTTAAACATCAAAATCTGATTTATTAATGTTGATTATATAATTATAACAAATATGTTATACAAATTTATACCATATGTTTAACACGGATTTTCTTGGACCTCCTGGGGGATCCAAACTAAATCTGGTTGGTGTTTTTCAGCCTGAGAAATATGAGTCAGAGGGCCCAATCATTCCCAAGGCTTGGGGTTGAACATATCCAAAACCACGACCTGACCGGTAGAAACTGTCGAGGCCTTCTTCTCGGCCTCACCTGACCGTCTGACCGTCTCGGCTCCGGGCGGCTGGTGCCGTGCCTCCGCAGCCGGGGCCTCGGCGAGCTCGACCGATCGACTGAAAGAGGTCGGGCCGTCCCCCGTTTGGGCGGTTTGCTCGGTGTGTTTGTAGGTTCGAATGCTTAGACATATATACGGATGAATCATGTCGAATCATGTGGAATCAGATTTGGGACTGCAGACGAAATCTCTTTGGATTGGACTCCTCTGGAAGAAAAATGAGCTCTTGGTATTCTGGATCGGCCGTCCGTGATGCCGATTAATCCTATTAGAATCTGCCGATTTATTCCAGCGGTTCGACCAGTGTCAATGCTGTCGCCAGTCCACTATTGGCGAGGAGGATGGAATCGATGCCACCGGACCTGCTGGTGTGGGATGATGCATCCCACCTTAACAATTTATTTCCTTAAATAGGGGGAACGCACCGGACCCTCAGAACTCCGACATTCTCATGGATGCCGCCAACACCAACGCCTGACGAACTTCGACATGGATCCAAAGTACACCAGGCATCCCGGGCCGTGTCTGCGCGGCCGCCCGGGCTGCCAGCTGAGCAGTGATCTGCGGTGGCAGCTGCGCGCTGTCAGCGCCGGTGTTGAAAACGCTGGAGGCTTGGGAAGAGCCTGGCGCTTGAGGCCGCGAAGCCGGTGGAACATGATGGGATGATATGGGATGCGCAAAGCGTGCGCTTTTAGAACAAAGTGTGTCAGTTTCCTTCATAAGATCTGAAGATGTGCTGTTTTGGGGCGTCTCTCTTTACAATGGTTTCTCATGGCTTCTTGGTGATTTCTGGTGTTTGCAGCCAATTGGATAAACTATGCACTGCACGGCCCAGTTGCCCAGTTTCCTTGATCACATGTAAGTCTTGTAAAAAGCGTCGACAACTTGCCAACGCCTTTTTTCTCACCGTCTGGCCATCGTCTTCGGTTCTTCTGAAGAGATATATTAATCACGACTTCATCGCTGCCGAGCCGAATGTTAGGAAGTGATGAAGTGAACAATTAGGTAAATGATGTGCCTTCGGAAGCAAATGATATGCTTTAGCCATCTTTAGCCGAAATTGGGTGGAATGTGAGGGTTTTTCATGGTTTTTCCACCCATTTGGGTGGGGAGCCAATTCCGCGAAGGATCCACTACTAGTACAGTGAAAGACCCACTGATTTGAGTGAAGGACCACTCAATCAATTGCAAATGTTCAGTTTATAGTGGTCCCCTTCAAACATCGAAAATGCGGCCCGGTTTCCAAGACATTGTCTACGTGGGGAGACAAAAAGGAGTCTATATAATGCAGACTCTTGAGATTATATTTCACCCCCTAATAATGAAGAGGATGTCCAATTCAAATTGGTCGGTTTATGGTCCTCAAGAGTCGACCCATGGGTCGGTGACCGGACGTAGAAGCGCCACCCAACCGTTGGAACGGTGAAGGCCGTCTCTCAGAAGCCATGCCAGCGCGGCCGCTCTCGATGTCGCCCTCACCTGCACGTCGAAAACCGCAACACCGCGGCGAAGGAAAACACCCGTCTTCGGTGTGGTTTCGGTGCGACGGACACCGGTCGAACGGTTTTCACCTCGGTCGGTTCTGAGCGCACGAACACTTCGGTGTGACCCACAGTGCCGGAAGATGCTCAACGGAGGATTCCCACCGTTCAGGTTCCCTCTCTCACACACCACTTGCTGTCTGCCTCTGGTGCAGTCCCAACACTTCACTCTCACGCATGACCTTGCGTCGTCTGCAGAACCACCTGTTGATTTCCTACAAGGCTCAGCCTACACCTCCACAGCGTGCGAGGTGTTTCCGCGTTTGCGCCCCCTCCCCCAAACCATCCCCAACCCCTTCGACGCATGCGCACGCAGCACAAACCGCAAACCGCAGCACCATCGCCGTGCCTTTCGATTTGGACATTGGGCTCTTCAAAGCCTGGGCTCCACACGAGAACTCTGACCGCAGCTCAGCAAAAAACCGTCGAGTCATGGCAGTCATGGCGCTCGAAAAAAGGGTCCGTCGAGTCAGCATACAACCACCCCCCCGCAAACTAACATGGAACAAAAGAATTGACTGGTGGAAGGCAATGTTCCTCTACAATTTACAACCCAGTGGTTTTGGGGGTCCATGTTAATCTGCAGGGGAGTGTACACCAGCGAAGCCAAAAGTTGAGGAATTCCAGCCTCACCCCGAAAAACGAACTAATTTCGTGGATTCTCGCATTTCTCCGGCTCTCTCCGCTTTTTCTCGCACCTCATGGGAATTCCTCCACGCCTCCGGGTTTTCTCGCCCCACATTCTCGCACCACCTCCGCTTGCCAATTTTCTCCGGCCCGAAATTTCAATTTCTCCGGTTCCGCTTTTGAGAGGTGTAGCCAGGAATTTCCACACTTCCGGACAAAAACGAAAGAAACTCTGAGAAACGATCATTTTCCGGCATTTAAGTCTTTATACACACACATCTTGTTGTTTATTCGCTTCTGTGTGGGAATCAAGCGTGACATGCTATGGGATTGGAGGAGGTGTCGGAGAAATGACTGGTTCCATCCATGGAAGCCACCTCTATGGGCGCAAGCATCTTTATCGGCAGAGTTGCCAAAGGGAACATGTGGGAAGCCTACTGCTTGCAGTATCAAAGCATGGTGCTCGCAACCAAGTCCAAACGCGCCATGTTTATGCGAACTGCATGGTATGTGTATATATATAACTATATATATAACATACCTGGATATACCTGGACCTTACATGGGTGTATGTTTTCGGCTGTTTGGCGAAACAATACCAATCGCAGTCTTTCGCCGTCAAAAACAAGCGTTTCGATGTTTTTACAGAGGTTGCCAAATTAGAGGTCGACAAAAGTCACCGCTTGGTCGGGGAAAGTCACCGTTTGGCTGGGAAAAAAGGCCGTTTCCAAACCTTGACTTAGGATAGAAAGCAGTTCAATCATGTTCAATCCAAAAAGTGCTTCAAGACAAAATAGTTGGCTTTTGCTGCTTGCAAAAACATGTTTGACTGAAAAGGCATAAAAAAGGCATTACATAATGAGCTATGAAGACCCAGGTCTTCATAATTATCATCACGGTGCCCATCGAATGCCTCGAATTTTCGTACGTCTCTAGGTACAGCCCTCCACTCTTGGTGTTTGGTGATCAAAGGTGCCCCTGTTGACCTCCTGGCTTCAACATGCTTCAACCGCCGTCCCGTAAGCGCTCCGGTCCACCCAAATCCGCCCGGTCCACAGCTGGGTAGCGACTCGAACGGGTCGCACTGCCTCGAACGGGTCGTGACTCGTTGCCAGGATTTGCCAGGGCCGCCGATTGAATGACACCCCGAGTCACCTGTTTTCAAACGTGGGGCCTTGCTACAGCCTTTTTGAAGTAGGGATGGAAACATGCATGACTGTCAAACACACACACACTCTCCCTCTCTCTCTCTATATATATATATATATATGTGCAACATGTGTGCCACTTTTGTTCAAAACCCCACACCATTTCCGGTTTGTCTTTCCCAGCCTACCTGCAAATCACAGGAAAACACACCAGTGGCGGCATCAGATTTCTTATCAACTCAAAAAACCTGTTCTAAACCATGAAGGTCCTTTTCTTGTAGGGGTGCTTCAACGGTGACTAAATCCACTGTGATGCAGCCAGCCGTTGCTCCTCCAACTCACCAAAGGCCAATGCAGGGTCATGTTGAAACCATCTATTGATATGTTGCGAGAACACATCCTCGGATCGGATGAAACCTAAGGATGACTCACCAAAACCATCCGTCCATAGGTCGCTACGTCGCCTCGTCTGGCCGTGCGGGCCATGGGTCGTCGACCACGCCATCTCGATCAGCGGCATGGAACGGTTGCAACTAAGGCTGCCAACTCAGGGAGGGGTTGCAACTGCCATGGTAGCCCCATGGTAGTGTGGCCCGATTCTGTGCGAGCACGGAATCGGGGAGGAGTGCCTCTAGGAGGGTGCCCAGCTTGATGGTCAGCTTACATGGTCAGCTTACAGCTTGTCATTCAACACCGAGCTTGCTCATATACACAAACCCCTTAGGGTCAGACTAATGAAGCGATAATCCATCAGTTCCCATGTTGGAACCGTATGGAGCTGTACAGGCGACCTCTATTCACAGCATTCGAGCATGAAAGGCGACGGCGGAATATCGATCGCTCCGGCAGCTTTCGGGGCTGTTTCGTCTACCCAAAGAAACAAGTCCTTGCCTTGGTCAAGCCAAACAAGTCCAGCGCCACGACCAGAAGTCAAAAAGAGTAAAACTGGTTGGCGAACATTGACATGGTCTTGGCTATAGGAAGTTTAACAGTTTAACACGTGGTTTATGAACAAAAGAAGCCGCAACGAGTTTCTTCTAGTGAAACGCTTCTGAACACGCATCTGCCAAGGTATCGAGAAGCAGCAGCCGAACAAACGGGCCCGTGGAGCAGTCGGAAGAGGAAATTGTTGAAACAATTGGCAGTTGGCAGTTGACAACAATATTTGAAGAATGCATCAACTTGAAAAGTACATGGTTGAATTATATTGGCAATATTTGACATGATTCAATCATGCCTTGGTATTTCACACATGTCTCGTAATGGTATATGAAAACAAGGGTCTTGGGTGCTCCAACAAAGGGTCGGTTGATCAATCCTATAGGGCTATATAGGGCTCCAATTGCCCCCGTTACCTCCGTTTCGGTTTGGTGGCTGGTGTAGGTGCCAGTGGGGGCTGCGTTTCCTTCTAAGGATGTGGTTGGAACCCAAAGGCAATCAACATCTCCCTCCTGACAGGATGGTTCTACATCTCCAAATGTCCAAATACAGTATTTGTTGTTTCTTGTTGATTTAAGCCACCAACACTCGGGAGGCTCCATGCCTGGGCCAGTTTCGTAACAGTTTTGGCTCACCCATAGCAATGGATGTTCTTTTTTTTGGATGTTCACTCTTGACTTGCATGATCTTCAAACTGGTTTATTGTGTTCCATTGCCCTGTTGAGTTCTATCTGTATCTCCAACCACCCGGCTCGAATTTTCAGCTTCGCATTTCAGATTCTGCCCGGTCTCGGGTCATCTCGGGTCCTGGAAAGCCACGAAGATCACGAAGCTAAGAGATCTGGAAAGGGTACCTTGATTCATTCAACTCGCCAGCACCATCCAAGGCGTCACCAAGGCCTCAGGACCCCCCCTACTGATGGATTTCCAGACATGACACCCCATGGAGGGTACAGGTATGCCAAGTTGAAGGTCTAGCCTTGAACAGCGCTTTTTTGGGTTGCTGCCTGCTCGATAGAACATACAGTGTTGGTTTAAAAAGCACCTATAAAGGACAATTTGCGCAGTCTGGCTGTGACTAGACCTGACAAGTTCCTCCAAACTTGGGTGACTGACTGGGAGGAATTTCCCTCACTAGACACTGCACATCTCTCATTTGCGTGAGGCTCCTTTGGAACTGTTCCTGTTGATGTTGTTGTTTGGTTCCGAAGGTGTTAACTACTACTGACATCTAGGGACTAGTGGCTCAAAATCTATGGACACATATGGAATCATAAGCAACGAGGGTTGGCCACCGCTGTTGTTCGCTGCCATTATATAAGTGTTCAGTGTGATCACTGTGTTCATGTTCATTCACTTCCCCTCCCATCCAAACCTCGACAGGCTCCCAGAAAAGGCTCCGGAAAGCCGGAAAGAGAGCTGGCCACAACTTGTGCCATCTTCACCTGCGTCACCTGCGTTGGCACAAAGTCATGTTCTTTCATCTCCGGCTCGGCTTCAAGAAAAGGACACATCCTCCGATTCTGATTTAACACAAGTGGCTACATGATGCTACATGTTAATAGCCTTGTAGCATAAGTACGACTCTACAGACTCGAGAGCCCAGAGCTTTCCAACGTCAAAGCTGTTGCCTTGGCGAGAGGTCCAAGGCCGAACGTGTGTTGCCACTGAACCTTTGGGGTCATGAAATACATCGCTCAGGCGGCATCGAAACAAGAAGACACCGAGCTCTGAAATTCCATCGCTGAGCCGCTGCAAGGCATTCACACAAGAAGTCAGGAACCGTGTCTTTCGATTAGCTTTGCTCAGTTTTTAACCTCCAAATCTAAGGGCACGACGGACATGGAGTAATGCACTGCTCAGATCAGCCGTTCGTCCGACAAGCACAGGCCTTGGCAAAAATATGTGGTTATTGTACACAAAACAAACTCTTAGGAGCCACAGTTGTTCCATGTTCCTTCAACAGGGTGTTTAAGTACCCTTGTTTTCACCGTTTTCACCCGCATGGTCTGTATGTTCTACTTTTTCAGGACATCAAAGAACGTCATTTCTGGAATCTCAGACTTGACCGTGTACAGGTAGGCGAGGGGTCCTCAGTCCGCTTAGGAAGCAGAATCGCCATCCACCTCTGCGAGGTCCACAATTCTTTTTTGGTTACTATGACTATATCTTTAAATGATTCAAAAGCATTTTTCCTATAGAATGTGTTAATGTGACTGGTGTTCTTTTTGGCTATGTTCTTTACATGTTCAATGCCAATTTTTTGCTCTAATGTAGCTGTTCTTTTGAATGAGGCTTCCCCTTGCTAATACCATGTTTTCCGTTTTATATGTTATGAGACTTCGCTTTTCTGATATTTCTAAAAATGACTCTTCCTTTTGATGGATGGTTTCCTTTTAATGAGACTTTTCCGGACAGTCTTGAAAGGGAGTTCAGTTTTCTAAACAAAGTGTGCATGTTGATGAAACGTTTCCTGTTTAATGACATCATGTCATGTATCTCTTACGAACGGTACGGTTCTTTTCAATGCGACCTGTCTTTTTTAGAAGTGTCTCTTAAACGCATTTTACTGTTAATGCAGTTTTGATCAGTTTTGCCTTTCATGGTTTGTTTCTTGAGACTTGTTGTTTTCAATTTTCAATGTCATTTGGTAGAACATTCACGCCTCGCGCGGCAAAAGACTAAAGCGGCAAAACATTATTCACCTCTCACGCGGTAAAACGGTAAACTGTTCACACCTCACGTGGTAAAACGGTAAAATGTTCACACCTCGCACGGTGTCGCAGCTTAACATGTTAATATCAGTTTACCGTTTAAATCATTGCAGGGCAGAAGACTTCGATTTTGCAATTTACCATTTTAGTGTTGCAGCATGTTGCAGTGCAGAAAACTTTGCTTTTATATACAATTCTACCGTTGCAGGGCAATGGGCAAACAACTGCAATTTTACAATCCTACCTGCGCCTCGCAAAGGCATTTGGCAAGACACGCAAAGTAACTACCTTAGCTGGTAGCTAGTAGCCCTTGTCTCCAGCAACGTAGGTGGTCCACTTGGGCACTTTCATATTGTCCCACTAGTGTAAACAAAATAATGGTGTATTTGCCCACCGCCAGGGTAGATATTAGAAACTACTGGACTGGGGCATTTACAGTGGCAGCATTCATGAACAAATGTCTAGCACAGTTTGCTCGCTACTTGAGTGGAGAGAAATGGAACGCCACAAGCGAGCTAACTTTCGCTCCTTCAGTCTGCGACTTGACAGTTGCTGAATCTGCTTCTACAACCTCTTATGCCATCACAAAACGATGGCGGTGCCCACCATAGCTAAGAAACAATCTGTACACGTTCACCCATTGATTGGCCTTGCTACCCGGAGGCCAGCCATAGCACTGAAAGCAAGCCTTACACCCCAAGGGACGCTTCCAGCTGCCCCAACACATCATAACAGACGTGTTCTGCAGTTCTGTCTCTCTGAATCACATCACACAGCAATCACCCACATTTGCTTCTTTGATCTGTTCACCCGTAATGGCTTCGACATCCGTATCACTCTCATCTTTGCGGCGCTTAAATCGTTGCCGTGCCATGGCAATGGGCCACCCATTCACTTCACCCCACTTGCCAAGACCCACCGATCGCACGAGCAGCATGAAGACCTTCCTGTTGCTCAGCGCCTCGCTGCCGAACAAATGAATCCCCAGCTGGCACAGTGTCGCGTTGGAGGCCAAAGACTGCTTCACCGGGTTCTTGCGGCGGTGCTCGTTGTAGTCCTAGCCGGCGCCCACGAAGAGTACACGGCGGGTTTTGGGTCAAAATTTGGTGAAATGAATGCATTTTTTTGGTTGGATCATGGTGTGTCAGTGGTTCATCGCCTTTACCATTTGCTATTTTGCTGCCACTGGTCAAACAGCTCTATTATGTTACAAAAGTATGGAGAGAGAAATGAGTGCCAATGCACAACCCAATGCAGTTAGTACTGCCAGGAATCCAAATCAAAGATCTTCTCGCATTTCTTCTTCCCTTTGGGACCTTCAGGATGGACAACTTTCATGAAGGGACCACCGCAGCTTGCAAAGAGATGAGAGAATCTTTCTGTGAAGCTCATTCGCTCCCGGTGGTGGTTTGTATACCAAAGGTCCACGAAGTTCCCAGTCGCGTTGGGAGCATAGATGCGTGCGTGAATAGAGACTCTTCTGGGCTCTTCAACTTCATCGTAGTCGTCAGAATCATTGGACAGAATGAAAACACCTCTTGCAAAGGCTTCAGCGTCCACCTTCAAAGCACTGGAGTTCATAGTGGCTGCGACCGATTCGCGAATGCTGCAAAGGATTCTGGAAGCCTTCTTGTCAGCATCAACTTCTTCATCCTCTTCAAACTCCTCTTCTTCTTCTCCTTCATGATCATCTTGGTCAAAGGATTCAAGGAGCTCACGTTCTTCTACATAGCGCTTCCACTGTGAGTCTGGAATATTCCGGTCACAAATGCCTTTCAATTGAAACTGTTCCACTGCCTGCTGCAACCAGCTTCCTGGGGCCGCTGTGATGTCTTCCAACAGTTTGCTGGGATCCATCCGTGGCTTTTTCACAGCCCCAGCGTCATCGGCCTTTCTCTTGCGAGATGGAGTTGGAACTGGTTTCACAGGAACCTGGCCGCGGAAAAGCGCATCCATGTGAGATGAATGCTCTGAAACCATGTGGCGAACTTTCGAGAAGCTCATGAGCTCCTTAGAACTTCGAAAGCACAGTTGCTCTTGCTGAGCAGTCGAGTCAGTCGTTTTGAACTTGATACTTCGAGCTCCTCCAGTAATGTCCTTTGCAACTTCCATGTTCACAATAGCCATCTCTCCTTCTGGTTTCACGTAGCACTGTGGCCCCTTGCTCAAAATCAAGGTGACCTCATCATCGATCACATCCACTCGCTCAATATCTTGAAATTTCACTTGGATTGAATGCTTGGCCGTCAGCTCCTCAGCCTTCCAAACATCCATCCAGGCCACTTCATCAGTCTTCTCCTTCGCCTCCCTGGCTTCCCCAAAGCCGAAATCATCCAAGGGACCAAACCTGGCTTCTTCCATCTCCTTGGCTTTCTTCAAGATCCTCCTTACGTCTGCAGGTCTACGATTCAACTCTTGAACCTCGAAGGCAAAACGCTGGCGGCCAAAGAGCACTTTGCCCAACAACACAATCTCCTGAAAGAGCGGGTTTTGATCAACGATCCAAACATCTTTGCCAACCTGATGTACTCCAACCGTTTCAGTGGACTTGTGAGAAAATTATAAGACATCTGAAACTTGTCTTTGGATTTGAGATTGAGCCAAAAAAGAACATAAAAGTGTCAAGATCCAACTCCAACGGAACTCCAACTATATACCCAATATAATTATCGAACACGCATGCAGCTACATGCACGAACAAGTAGCTTCTACAAAGAAGACAGCAGTGCGCCGTCAACGCAACCAGAGCGAAGCAATGGAAAACAAACAACACAAACAATTGAGTCAGGACAGCACACAAACAACAAGCAAATAAGCAAAGAAGGAATTAAACAAAGACCAAAGACTCATCAGTGTCCAAGCAAACCGCAAACATCAGGTCCAGCAAATTCAGACACAAAAACATAGAACATGAAAAACATTGACAAACTCAAGAAGCCCTGCGCCACTCCTTCTGTTGTACTTCTTTCATGTTCATGGCAAAGCCATCTTTGAAGGTCACCATGCCACCAAATCCGCCAGCTGCCCGTGCCTTCTTACCAGCCTGTGAAATTCAATGGGAATGAACTTCGCAGGGTCGAAGTGCATCTCAAGTTGAAACACATCATCACAATCTTTCCACTTGGCACTGCTTGGATTGCCATCTCATCCGATTGCCATTTCATCTTCAAATTCCATGAACTCCTAAGTTATCCTGATCCAAGAATTCAATGTCATGCCCAGTCCACAGCGACTTGAGATCCCCCATGCCTGCAACTCAGCCACTTGAAATTCTACTGGCTTCGGTGCCGTTGGACGCCTTCTCCTCTGGAAGCAAAACTGGATCAACTTTACCGACTCAAGCCAACCGTCTTGAAGATCAAACAGTTCATGTTTGTTTCTGGGTGTCCAGTGCAAAACATCTCCAAATACAAACGAAAAAAGCAACAAGTTACAGTATCAAAGATTACTTCTGTACTTCGAGTCTTTGGCATCCCTCTCCTTGGTGCCTCACTCTCATCACTCTCATTGAACTCATCGTTGTGAAAGAAATCGAACATGGCAGCAGCTGGCTCAAATACAAAAAGCAAACGGAAACAAAGAAAAACATCTGTGGAAACGTGGAAACTGCAAAGCATTGGACTGTGTGGGGGTGTATTGCGATTCAGAAGCATGTGATGCTGTTCATACTCGTGATACCTCAAAAGCTGACACTACTTCCAATATCTTCCAATGTCAGTGGCTTATTTCGTGCCCTGCGTCAGTAACCTCTTTCAATCCTGTTGAACTGTTGAACAGGTTTTATGCTGCAAAATGCTGCCAACGTTTTTGCGCTGGCATGCAAAGTCAAACATTCCTCACACAGGTGCAGGGCAAATGTGTGGGAACTGCTGATGCCTGCTGGTAGTACTCGGTCAGTGGCAATTTCATGATAGCACGAAGAAATGACAGCAAAACTAAGTGCACCCACCCGCTATTGAACCACAACTCATCACAACTTGTCTCTCAAAGCTGACTAAGTACCCTGCTCACCAAGTAGTGCAAGATCACAGAGTGCCCACCAAAGGCCTCTGCAAATGAATGATATGAATGTCTGGAAGCCATCAATCAATGTGCACTGCTAAACCGAGGATGGTGCGTTTTTGAATGTCCGCGACGCTGCCACCTGAAACGGTTGTGTTTTGTCGGTGTCGGTTTCCAAGGTCATCTGAACATTCAACTACCACTGCACCCTGAAAGAGACCCACATGGAACGTGAAAACCACTGGGTTGTAGCGTACAACAGTCTTCCCAAGGGCCATGTTGAGGTTCAGCTTTCCGGGTGTATCTGTTATTGTCTGTTTGACTCAATGACGTGACGTCAGGTCTGTGCACCGAGTGATTGATCCAAAAGGGGCATACCATCCATATGACGTGTCCGTTGCCACCGGTAGAAGATCTGCCTTCACCTATCCACGATGGCAAGTCGGTCAAGTCGGAGCAAGTTGAACCCTCGAACATTCACTGCTTGGCGCTTGCAAAACATGTTTGGGACCTATGCAGGTGTAAACTAAAAAAGGGTCTAACAATACAATTTAATGTACACTATCATGGGCTAGTTGATGCTGGTGGATTGAACAGCGTCTAGACTCTAGACTGTATGGCAATCAGTAGCCCGGGCATCAGATTGTCCTAGATCTTCCAAGTCACGCTTGGCTTGCAAAGTGTCATAGATCAAAAAGAGAAAAGGAAACATCTACATGCACATCATTGCCCGGCATAATCAAATCAAGAAACTTTGCACTCAGCAACAAAATTTGACAAGGACGATCAAGAACAAATCACTAGACTGTGGCTGCAAAACAAAAATTGCCACCGTTTTGTGCCTCGTCAGAATCACCAGCTCTTTCACTCATCTCAATGGCTTCTGCGGCCTCTAGGTCGAGTTGTGTGTGTGTGTGTTGTGACAGGGGTCATATGTTTGTTTTGTAAACGTTTTGCAGCTGAGTGGTTAACTTGTGACATAGACCTCTTTGTACTAGGTGAAAATAGTTGCATAGTGTTTTCGCATTCTGGCACTTGATGGTTTTGGCTGGCTAGTTTGTTTCCGAAGCTTAATGGATGCTCTTAGAGTTCCATTTTGAGGACACACTGGCTGCTCATCTCAAATGAGAAGTACATAGCGGTTAGCGTCCACCGGGCGGTACTGTTTCAACTGTTGTGCGTTGCAGGAGTCTTGCGCCCTGGCCAAGTCCATCGCCTCTTCAAGGATGCCTTCGCCTTGCAAACATCTAAACTCCTCAAACTGATCCAAAAGTATTGCCATCTTCCTCTCTCGGGCCAAAGCATGACTGCATCCTCCTAACGAACAATCCACATGACTTCATTGTCATTTGGTCTCGACATGATACAGTAGCCTAGCTTTCAAATCGTTTATCTGAACCAATCTCCATGGGTTACGCTCCAGTCGTCTTTGCTCCAGTCGGTCTTCCACCTCGTTCTCCACTCCGTTACGCTCCAGAGCTCGATGCTGGTGGACCTCTGTCTGTGTGGGGTCAATGGAGGCTTGAATCCGCTACATCACAACGTTCAGCATGTTGCCAAGAAGGGTGGAAAGCCATGCCAGCGGTCAGCACTCCAAAAAACGGCCCGATGGTGGATCCAAAAGTAATAGGTGTGACATGATCACTTGCCAAGTCTTATATAAACATGTCTTGTTTTATCATTTCTATCTCTAACAAATCCGTGTCTCAGTCGGAAGGCGAGCGAGCTTCCGCATCGTTCCCATCCGGACGGCGAGGAAGGCTTCCGCCAAAGACCCAGTCAGGACCTGGGGCGGTCGGTCCTCAAAACGCCCAATGACCTGCATGGATCATGCCAATCTCTTGAACAATTAATTCACGTCTAAATGTTTCAACACAGTTGTTTTTTGCGGCATGAGGTGGTTCTCTTCAAACATGCGCAGGCATATTATGAACTAATCTGGATTCGGAATGACATAGCGAGACCCCCTGGCCCTGGCTGGGCAGACTGCTGGTCTTGTTTCCTTCTTCCAGAGAACATTTCATTGATCATTCTGACTATTGTAATATGTTGAGCCTGATCCATCACCACTAGTGACCATGAGCTTAGATGTATGATTTATATAATATTTGGAACTGATTCTTTCCACAACCGACCCCCCAAAAATGCCGTTCTCCTCTCCATCTCGGCGGTCAGAAGCCCAGGTCGCCAGGTCACCCGTCGCGGTGCCTTGAAGAAAGACATTATACTGAGTTGAGAGTAGATGATGGCACAAGTTATCACAAGTTAGGTGGTTTTCGATGCGTTTCACAACTTGTGCTGCGCGAATCAGCCCCTTTTGTTGTGAGGCCCTCCCTTGAGGAAAAATGAAGAAAGGCCTTCCCTACGGTTTGTGTGTTTCACAAGTTTTCACACGGCTGTTTGGAGAGAGCGGCTTCTGGAAAGGAGAGATGGGCACATTTTCCATGAGTTCTGTATGGTTCTGTTGTTCTGCTTGATGCGTTGCCTGTCCCCGAAAGTTTCAGGGCGGCGGACTTCACGTTCCGCGAAGGCTTCGAAGGCTACAAGTGCTAGAAGAGGCTACAAGTAAAGTTATGTCTCTCATTCGGAGACTTCAGCATTAGCACAATCAAACTAAGAACATGAAAAGAAAGGATCCAGTCACACTCAAGTGCACTGGCATCATTTTGACGCCTAGAGGCACACCATGCGTGACTCCACCTCACTAGTGCACAGCGTTATTGCCAGCCTTGTCGAGAGGTGTGCCATCAACAAGATATCCGATGTC